GTCGTCCCATGGGCCTCACGGCGGTCTCGGCCCGTTGAATAGTTAGTGCCGCGAAAGTTAACGACATAGTGAGCGCAGCGCAAGAATCTCCGCATATCGATTATAATTCGCGATATATCAATTAATTAATTTATATTAATTAGTTAACTTGTATGTCATTATACGCGTCCATCTCGAATGCCCATCGCCGACGATCAAATTCGGTAAGATCGTCCTCCGTTAGATTAATCAGAGTATTAATTTTAGTTCTTTTTTTACAAAGAACAATATTTATTTAATACAACAATATCAATTTTAATTAATTTATTTCAGTCACAACAAAATAAAAAAAAATAAAATAAAACATTTCCCACGTTTTAAACATTAAATTGTAAACTATTTAAGATGGAATTAATACCAGAATTCTTATGCAGCTACAATATTATTGTATGCAAAAATATCAAAATCAGAGCAGTAACTAGAATTTAGCAAAGGTGAGTTGTTACTTTTATCAAGAATGCACAAATATATTTTTTCGAGATGATATCGCTTTTAATATATAGAACATTTTTTTATTGTTTTGCATTGAACGTTTTATAAAAGAGATTACGGTTTCAATTTATAAAAAATAATAATAGAAACTTCTATATACAAACATATAGATATTGTTTTATTTTTTTTAATTCAATATATATTTTGTTACTTATATTCTATTTTAAATATAAAATATAAAAAATAGAGAATTATATCAATTAGATTTGTAACAACAGAAAAATAAAGCTAAATAAGGTTTCAAAATAATTTTTGAGAATAATTTGCTATCAGTAATTATTTTTATATTGTGTATAATTAATTTTGTTTGTGAATATCTGTCATAAATTAAATTATTGCTACGTATGCAAATAATTCTAGTTACATACTCTGATTATAATTCATAATGTGAAAATATGTAAAGTTTTGAAAAATTGTTAATTCAGCGATAGCATATTTACAAAATGACAAAATTTATCTTGAAAATATTACGAAATAAAATTTATACGAAATAAATTCTATGGAATTAGTTGCTTGACGAGTTTTAAAAATCATTCGTTTTTTATCATTAAATTACATATTAATTATAAAATTACATCGTTTGGAGCTTGCGCAACAGGCACTACATCGCCAAAAAGAGCCTTTCAAATTATATCTTTCTCTCGTTCGAGTACGTTCACACTTCGTCGTATTACAATAATATCCACATCGCTATTCCTGGCAATTAAATGTAATTTTGTGTATATATATCTAATATATAATATATACACAATTGTGTGTATATAGTATATATATATGCCATTTTATAGTAAATTTATCTTTTTTTATATATGTCTACAATATTTATATATATTTATGTATACTATAGTGTAATATGCTTACGCGCCGTCTAATCCCTAAAAAAGAAACGGTACATTATTGTCTGCGGTATTTTTTTGTTTTCGAGTATTTATATATATAATATATACAATTCATTTTTGGTATTTATATAATATATAAGTCAATGAAAAGCTCAATGGCGTGACCATGTAGTATTCATTGAGTACAATAAATCTGAAAATTTTCGTACGCTTCACGAAACTCCTTATATGCATAATCGATCCACGATTTATTTCACGGAGCATAGAGGAGAAGGAGAAAAGAGGATATCTCTGCTATGTTTTTTTAATTGCTATTCATTAGGCAAATTTGTATTATTTAATTCTTTACAATTAAAGAACTTTAGCGAACAAAAATAAAAGCGAGGATGGTGCAATCAAGGAGTATCGTGAAGGTAATTCTGTTCTCGACGACGATGTCGCACTAACATTTATGTAATTTTTCGTTTATCTTGGCAACACTAGGCAAGCTCGGTCGTTCACGGAAGGCATCGTATGGTGCTTATTAAATCGTTGCTTCAACAATCATAACAATTTTCATCGCTCTTATCTTTTCCCTTTTCCGCTTATTATTTTTCTAGTTATTATCTTCGCTGTTGTTTTTTTGTTTTATCTCATTATTGTTCATTCGGGAGATAATGTCGATGCACAAAAGCGACTTACATAAGTTTTTTTTTTTTTCGTTATTCAGTAGTACGTACATATATTGAGGCAAGCGGGTCGCAAAAACTCCCGAATCAGAGGAGAGAAATGTAATATAATATTTTATATATATATATTATCTATATACGTATATATATAATATTGTCTTCGTAAGTTTCCTGCCTTTTCCTCCTGATGTCCTAACCCGTTGTTGGTCGTGAAGTCACTTAGTTACTCGAAAAGCGAAGATGTTAATTGTGAAGATTGACAACGATATAATTTCATTGAGCTCAAAATTATATAAATTAAACTCATCGAAATTATATCACCTTCAATTCTTAATATAAATACAAAGCAGAATGACTCGAACGATTCGATTACGTACTTAACTCAAAAGAAACGAGGTGCAGAAGTTACAAGAGACTGAAGGGAATAAAGTTTAACATTAATAAAATAAAAAATTAGAAAAACACGTTGAGGAACGAAATATCTACATTAAAAATACGCATTGAATTTTTTTACGAATAGATACAGTTAGGAACTTGTAACTAACTTGTCGCTTGTAACTAAATAAAATGCGATTAAGAATCGTGTTGCAAACGGTAAACGAAGGGGAACGAGCGAGAATTAGTTTTTTTGTTCGCACCGATATATAAAGAGAAATTACGATAATTCTATGTGTCGGATGTAAGGAAGAGATCCGTTGCAGCCGAATTAGCCGCTGCTTGCGATCGATTAGTGTGTACTATCTCGTATCCGTATAATATTACATTATAATTATATAAAAATATATTTCTTATATAATCATATATTAACACTATAATAAATGAGTATTATTAAGCATTATATCTGCACATTTTTCATCTTTCTTTTTTTTTTCTTTCGTAGAGTGGTAGTGGTAAACACGATGCCTGTCGCGGATAACCGAAGCTTCTACACACACGAAACGTCAAGGACGTACCGGTTTGCCGTATGCCGCACACACACTGGCACAAAATTTCAATAATACGGTAATATCTGTATCTCATATTTCTTTCTCATCTTTCTTTATCAATAACAATATCACTTATCACTTGTAGTACTCGTGTAAATAAAAAGACGCATAAACTGTTATAAAATACATTCTCGAGTATTATCAATCTGTAGAGTATATATATATGTATATATATAATATACGTTCTTATCTATACGCGCGTCCGAACGAATAAAATCATATAAACGTCATAATATAATAATTTTAATAGTACAATGTTGGAAGCATTTAATATCATATTTAGGTGTAATGGTTATTCGGGCCTCGGATTTCGGTGAAAAGATTATTGCGAGGTTTTAATGCACATTATCCTTCGTCGCACCTTTTCGACACATAAGTCTTTGGATTTTCAATACAAAGATTTCTTGTACAGGATATAAGATATCTTTGTATTTTCAATACAAAGATACGAAAGATGCAAAGATTACCTAATTCTTTGAAGATATTCTTTCCAGAATTTCCTTTATAAAAGTTTTTTTTCGGATTTCTGTGTTATTCAGGTCCATCGAAACTATCGATAGACTATCTATAGACTCCCCAGATGAAACACACATGTCGCACGCTTCGGGAAGTTGTTTGTGCTATATTGCAGAAACAAAATCGGGACTTCGATGAAAGGTGCCACACGGTGTTATTCGTTGCAAGAGGAAAAAGCGATAAATAAAATGAAGAGGCCCTGAGAAAACGGATCCTCGCGGAATGTGTAGCGCATTTTACTACGTATTTGTATCGTCTCAAACAATAATCACGTTGTATTATAGGAATAACAACACGTCATCAACTTGCCACCTTGTAAGTACAATAGAGTTAAAAAGAATATTTCTCGCATGACATCAATCACCGACCCGCATGGCCCTTAAATTCCACGTCTCTCTCTCTCTCTCTCTCTCTCTCTCTACATATACAATAATGTATAATAATAATAGTAATATAATAATAATATAGCCTTTTTTTCGTCAAGTGAAGTTATTCATTATAAAGAGGCGGAACATGAGATTCTAATCTTCGTCTTTACGCCCGACGAAGTTTTTTAATGTTAAGCTCAATTAACAGCTGTACTTCAGATATATTTGATTCGGTAAACTCAATATATCTCCATCTTTATCTATGTAGAACGAGCACTCGTTTTACACCACGCGCGATCTCCATTCTCATAAATCCGTATTATCTTTGGAATATAAATTTTAGGAATTAGTTATCGAAATACAGACATGACGTCACTTCGCAGAAATTGTTTAAAAGATGAACATTCTTGTTTATCACTGAACATTTTAAACTCGTCAAATCTCGTATATTATCATTAATTTTGCGAATGGATATCGCGCTCTTCATACGGACGTGGCTAACAAATTTGTACATTAATTAGTTTTTTTATTATTGTCATGGTATATATAATATTTTGTTAATAAAAATACTAAAATATTATGTATATTATATAATATATATATAATAGATTATTGCATTATGCTTTTTTGGTACCGTTATATGCGTTTGGTTTATTTGTCAACGCCACTTATCGCGAGTAGTTTCTTTTCGTTTCTATTTTTTTTTCACCGGTATCGTTTCTTTTTTTAAAATCTAAAACCGGTTGATACACACACGCACACGCATACAATACAAGAGAGACGTTACGAACGTCTTTCATATCTCAATCACAAATTCTAACATACATGTCGACCATTTTCGATCTCGCATCGCTTAAACCTTTTTTCAGGTTTCTCTTTTTTTCGAAGTACGAACCGATCATCAATAAAATGCCATAGCTTTGTAATGTGATGTCACGCGCAGCATCTTATATATATTATAGCTTCGTGTGAAACGCGATTTCGCGCAACTCCCTTTAAAGTTCATGCGAGAGGAAAGTATGAAGGCGTTCTAGCGTTTTCTTATAAGACGTGGAAATGTCGGAGGAAAAATTCACACACAAAAGAGGGAAATTCTAAACGTAAGAAAAAGAAAGAACTGCATATATTATATCTAGATAAGCGAGCGAACTTTGGATGAGCAGGTGGAATATTTCTATTCTCTGTAGGGCTTGCAATAAGAGTAACGATGATTCATGTGCTGGCTATAGGAGCCGGAGTGAGAGAAGCGCTTTAGGCACTTGGAGCACTGGAAAGGTTTTTCGCCGCTGTGTAGCCGCTTGTGTTCAGTCAGATGATGCTTGTGCTTGAACGCTCTTGGACACTCCACGCATTTGTACGGCCTTTGCCCTAACATTTATCAATTTTATTAACATTCGTTCGTAACAAATTTAAAAATGCTATAAGAAAAATCATATTTCTTGCGATAAATTTGAATTAAAAAAAAAAAAAAGAAAAAAAACAACTAAATGCGGAAATATCAATATAATTTTCATTTATAAGCTTTCTATTTCAATAATATGTATAATTAACAGAATCTTATATTTTTCAATATATTAAATATTCTTAATTGAACATTGAAAAATTGTAAAAAAAAGATTTGTCTGTTTTCGTTAAAAATAAATTGTTTCTAAATTGGATAATGGCTCTCGTTAAGATCGCAATAATAATAAGTATAGTATACACACCGGAATGTTCATACTTGTGTCTCATAAGAGAACTGTGTTTGGAGAATGTTTTGTCGCATCGATCGCAGGAATAAAGACCCTGCTCAGTTTCTGCTGCTACAGGGGTTGCTTCCGATTGAGGTGCAGCTTCACTTTCACTTTTCGCATTTATTTGATTTTGTCTCTAACAGAGATAATGCATCAATTATATTATTTATATAAAATTTTGAGATTGATATTTTATTTTTCATTATTACCTTTGTGATTATCTCTCCATTTGTAGGTGTACGCTTTGGTTCAATAGGATCAATAGCAGTTTCTTCATCTATGACAAGAGGCGAATCCTCGAGATCGTCGTTGTCGACGTTCGAGACTGAATTATCGTCCTTTTGCTCGCAAGGAGACGAGATATTTCTGCTCGATATATCACTTTCTTTGGTCGTTGATGCAACAAATGCTTCCTTTTTAGACAAATCCAAAGGCTGCTCGATAACAGTTTGATTTCCCAAGACTAAAGGTACCAAGGCCGGTGGCATTTTTGATTCTCTTCGATCCCTGGCCCGAGAATTTTGAAACCAAACCTACAAAATAAATATATAGTATATATATGTTTCAAACATGGTACGAAAATTACTGATTAATCATTATAGATTTATTAAATATTAATAGAGATAAGTAAAATAATTTTAAAATAATTTTTAATTTAATGTAATTAATCAATGTTTTTAATCTGCGTACCTGTACCACACGAGTAGGGAAATTAATACAATTAGCAATCATGATGATTTCCTCCTTTTTAGGTCGCGGATTGATGGAATAGTAACCTTTCAGAATGGCCAATTGTTCATCATCTATAAGCGATCTAGCTCTAACCCTTCTACCGTTATCGTTGTGAGTGTGGTTGCCCTCATCCTCATCCTCTGAATCTCCCTCAGAACTGTCCTCCATCTTTCTCTTACTGGATGATCTCGATGTCGGGTGATTGACATTTTCTAATTTCGCAGCCAGACCCTCGCTTTGCGAGTCATATTGGTCTAATGCGGCCCAGTCTGGACAATGTGTCATCTCACTGGACATTTCGCTATCTTGATCCTGTACACACAAGTAAGATTTTAATGTTCAAGTCAATTTCATTTCAAAAGCAAAAAAAAACATATTTTACATAATATAGATATTAGAAAAATCTGCACAGATTCGTAAATTAATTTATATAATTATGTTACTATTAAATTTATCAAATTTATTAAGAATTGATTTTCTATTTCTTACTTTTTCATTGTTTAATTTTTAGAATTATAAGTTATTGTTATTTCAGTATACAACATTTAAGTTTGTCGCAAATGTATAGCTAGATTAAAATAAGAAAGATTTCTATTAAATCTAATTACCTGATAATCTTCCTCAAGTTCTCGTTTCATTGTAGCCGGAGACGTGGAGAGTTTTCGCACATTCGCTTCAAGTAGCTGTTTCGTCACGGAAGTATTTACGGTCTCCAGAATTCGGCGAACAGCATCGAGACTTTGCATTGGATCCGCTGGTGCAGGGGACTCCTTACCCTCAGTGCCTTCGGTTCCCTCGGAATCCGCTGTCGATGGACTCATCACTTCTCGATGCGTCTCAAACTGTTCGGCGATTTCGTCGAGCCGTTTAGAGTGCAATTGGTTCAGC